TGACCAACGCTCACGGTCGCTAACAGATCTATTTTTTGAATATTTACTGCAAGAATTTCGTGGAAGTTGTGGTGATTTTATGAAAACATAGGTAAGGTAAGCATAGGTAATGTGAAGATAACCCTGTGGTAACGGTGCGGCTCGCTAGAAGCGGGTTTCACGCTCCTTGTCCACCTGATCAATGTTGGACCTTGGGTTCCTGCACCGAGAAACGTTCCGCGTGGCGAAAAGCGGAAAAGTCGCTCTGGCCGGACGCATAGTCGGTCGGACGACAGCAACGACTCGCAAGTGTCGCACAGCATTGGATGCGTATCGATCGTCGGACTTGCCTGAGTATTCGACGATTAGATGCAGTTAGACAGTCAGACAGTTGCGATCGTTGCTGTCGGACGACCGACTATGCGTGCGCCCTCTCTGTCTAAGCGAACCGTATCCAAAACATACGCCTGGTAGGGCGCATGCATAGTCGGTCGCCCGATCGTAACGGTCGCACAGCATTGGATGCGTATCGATCGTCAGACTTGCCTGAGTATTCGACGATCGATACGCATCTAACGCTGTGCGACCGTTGCGATCCTTACGATCGGACGACCGACTAGGCTTGCCCCCATGGTTAGCCGTGATTTTACTGACTCAGTTTTTCGTTCATCGTTAGAATTCTAGTTCATAAATTAATCATTGTTCATCATAATTCCTCTAGTTTCAGCCATGAAGTCTCGTTTCACGACCTTGGATGTAACTGCTGCTGTGAATGACTTAAAATTGCTAGAGGGTATGCGAATCGTAAATGTTTACGATATCAATCACAAAACTTATATCATGAAGCTGTCCCGGTATGTCATAATATTCTTCCTTTTTTGTTTTCTGGTATCTTATAATCGGGTTACTATTTAGAGGAACTGATAAGGCTCTGATACTGTTCGAATCGGGCATTCGCATCCATCGTGTATTTCATGAGTATCAGAAAGCTCCGTTTCCATCCAGCTTCAGTCAGAAGTTGCGTAAGCATTTGAACAACCGCAGGTTCGTGCATGGCTGTGTCATATCTGATTTTTTTTGTTCTCGATCACATATACTATGGAGTGAGTATTGATCTCGCGCGCGCATAATCGATATTGATCATGGGTGCGCCGCTGAGGCGGCTAAGGTGCAGAAGTCACTCAGGATGCAAACGTTGTTGATTTTTGGAAATCTTTGAAATCTTTAGGCTCTGGAAAGTTTCTCAGTTAGGTATGGATCGTATAGTTGATCTTCAAATTGATGACGGAGACCGTGCTGTCCATGTAATTGTGGAGTTGTACGACAGGTGCGTTGCTTACCTTCCTACTAGGAATTATTTGTCATTCTTATCTTTATTATTTCTTTCCATTTCCATTTTTCTTAAGAGGTAATATTGTTCTGACTGATTCCTCGTATATCATCCTTAACATACTTCGTCCGCGAACTGATAAAGACAACGATGTGCGACTCGTTGTCAGAGAAAGGTTCGTTATTTCATCATTAATTCAATTTTTTAATTTTATAGCAAGTTTTTAGTATCTTTGCAATGACTGTTTTCACGGTTCGTAGCACAGGTGAACGTTCCGCGGGGTTATGTAAGAGTTCCAAGGGTGTAGTCACAGTCAAACTGGCTGTATATGGCTCTATGATTGCAATCACTTGGATTGAAGATGGCCACTTTCTTTCCTGATCAGTTAAATTTGAAGTAATAACAATTCCAACAAACAGTCTGGTGTTTTTTGGTTCTTATTATGTTAGCTTTTGTTTCCAATAGGTATCCACTGCCCGCCTCTCGATCAATCCCTCCATTGCCTTCTGTTGACGAAATGGCGAAAGTCTTGAGGTGTGATGTTTGGATTTTTTCAAATTATTGCTACATTGGAATTTTGAATTTTAGGGAGTGCGACCCAAAAATCACTCTGAAGCGTGCTGTGGCCCAGCCCGGACTCTATAGTGGTGCTCTAATTGAACATGCGCTCCTTGCCGAAGGCTTGAATCCCGATTCCCAGGTATGGGTTTTCAATATTTTATTCGATTCAAAGGTTTAGAGTGGCTCATTGTGACGTTGATTGGAAGCAGAGTTATGTTTGGCGCACGGTCGGTAGTAATGCGTTATCATTTGCTTATTCTGGCTTAATTTTCGTCTAAAATAGCCATTATTCATTACTTCGCAGACTTCTCTACGTATAATTTTGAATAAAACTCTTCAATCGACTTTATGTAATTTGAGCATCCATGAAAAACCACCATTAATTTGTGAAAGAGGAGGAAGAAAAGCAGAACACAACATAACAGCTACGTAAAGGGAGATTCAGTCAAATCGGGAAATATGGTCTCACGCTCTTGCCAGCTCTGCACGATGCTTGGCTTGCATTCTTCTTCTCCTCTCTTCTGCTTCCTCCTCATTCCCTTTTTGTCAGAAAATTTCCTTGAATTCCGAGTGTAAAGTCGCATGCATGCCATTTCGAGGTTTCCATTTGTTAGCTGCTGTTTTTGGCCACGATCTGCTCGCGAATGATTCACATCTCAACATTTTTTCAGGTTTCTCAACAAGGAGTCGATTGTGCCGCACATGTTGTCAGTGCGTTTGGCATTGCGGCGAGAATTACGGGAGAAATTTCGAGCGGGTGTCTGTGTCAGGGTTATATCCCGTATATGCGTGACAAGCGTACCGATGGGACAGAAATAGTGATATTTCAGGTAATATGTAGCACTCGTCAACATAACAGCTACGTAAAGGGCTTAGGGCTAGACTCTTCACAGCTATTTCTAGGAGTACCATCCCTACCTCTTCGCACAACACGAGAATGGCTTCTACGTCACACACGGATCATTCTCTGAAGCCGTAGATGCATTCTATGCTGCTCAAGAAGCGCAGAGACAGGTATATCTATGCTTCCCTCACTTTCCTTTCTCACACTCATTGAAACCTTTGCAAGCAGCAAAACGCCTTGAAAATGGAAAAGGAGGCTATGAAAAAGTTGGAAAATGTGAGAAAGGATCAGTATCGTCGTATCACAGAACTCGAAGAAAGTCGTGAGGAGAAGATGATCATGGCCGATTTGGTCATATTTAACCAGGTAAGAGCGAATACAGTCGGTTGTTCTTAATGTGATTGCATATTCATTTTTAGACTCTCGTAGATTCCGCAATCAGCATAATATGTAACGCCCTGGCTCAAAAAGCCACATGGGACGAGATAGAACGAATGCATGCTCAGGCAGCAAATAGCGGCGATCCAGTCGCAAGGTACCTAATGTCACAGTGATTTATTTTTTGCTGAAATGGGATCATGTTGTTTTACAGTCGCTATTTTTAGAGCTATTGTTAAACTAGATCTCGCAAACAACAAGATCGTAATGCGCTTGAGTGAGGATTTTGATGGAATGTCTGCGTGAGTAATCTTTCTGCTTTGTTAAGGTCAATAGACCTTTACTTTTGGCTCTGATATCGTATTTGATTTCAATGAATTAGGTAGGATCCTTCTTCTTGACCCGGAGAAGAGTGGGGAGGGAAGTGAAAAATTAAAGTGGCTCGGTAGCAGGTCGAATGTAAACGGTACAAAACATGGGTAGACAGGACCGCAGTTACGGTTTAATTGAACCGGTCGTCTAGTCGCACAAACGGGTGTGGGCTAGATACGTATTAACCATATTAATCGGACGATCGATACGTATCTATCTCACACTCGGTTGTGTGATCGGACGATCAGCTCGATTAAACTGTAAAGGGGCCTGAAACAACTCAACATGTGTCATTTTTTGCTTTGATAGGAATGTGTACTTTGGGTGAAACACCGAAAGGCTTCTTATAAAACACCAAAAGGTTTTCTATTCCTGTCTTCCCTCCCCCTTTTCCTTTTTTTTACTGGAAACACCATGAGCCACCATCAGTGTTATGACGACGTCGCGATATTCCAGCCGTTTAGATTTCTCGCTATCATCATTAGAAAATAGAAAATCTCTTCCATGAACAATTATTCACCTTTGGTTTTTTTAAGCAAATACTGCAAATGACCTAATAATACAATATATTATATTTATTATAATATTTCAGGAAGGACGTCCCAATCGACATCGGTATGACAGCGTTCAACAACTCATGCATGCTTTACCAAGGCATGAAAGCAGCATCTGAGAAGGTTCGATTCATTGAAGAGTATTGTGGTGTGCACAGAAGTTTAATACTTATCTTTTTAGATTGTACGTACCGAAGCAGCCGCTGACAAGGCTGTCAAAAATGCAGAGGACAAAGCGAGTGACACTATAAAACAGGTTAGGCTTCACCTTTCCTATGCAGTGAATGTTGATACAAGCTCAAGCAATATAGGTTCATGTACGCGCCGATACCGCAAAAATCAGGAAGGAAATGTGGTTCGAAAAATTCATTTGGTTCATCTCATCGGAAAATTATATTGTGGTTGTAGGACGGGATGCTCAGCAGAATGAACTACTGGTGAAAAGGTGAGCGACGTTCGCGGTCCTGGTGGGAGTTTTTTTTTGCGAAGCCATTCCTTCCGAGTCTTGGAAGAGCTCACTTGTTGTGTTTGTAGGAGTTTTATCAACACAACTCTATCCTAATGAACAACGTTTTGTGTTAGATTCTTGCCGTATCTTTGATTTAGATACTTGCGACCTGGGGACATCTACGTGCATGCGGATGCTCATGGTGCGGCTTCTCTTGTTATCAGGTACGGCTTTGTATGAGCTTGAGGATGTTCATGGGGTGTAGTTTCACTTTTCGAAGAGACCCGCAATTTGTGGGTGTTGACGGTTCTAAACTTCATGATGGTGGTAGATAGCGTTGCCTGGTAAAACGAAAAGTTGAAGGTAGGGCTAAAAGTGTAACATTCAAATTTGGAGCCTCATCTTTCTGCTCCTCCACTTTTAAAATTCTGTTCTCAAGTTTTCGTATGGATTCCTCACGTAGTTCTTTAGTATTTCCTATTACGAAATGTTTGCTTTTTCTGCTTGGTTTTTATGTATGTTGAATCCTGATCAGGAACAAGGCGGGTGGTGGAGCGATCCCTCCTAAAACCATGACCGAAGCCGCACAAATGGCCATTTGTTGCTCAAGTTCGTGGAGCTCACATGTTATCTCGTCCGCGTGGTGGGTGTACGACCATCAGGTAAGCAAGCGTTTTCTGGTGTTTGTATTTAGTGCTTCATCCATTTTAAGTGTTTAGGTCTCAAAAGTTGCTCCATCTGGAGAGTACCTGTCTCATGGTAGCTTTATGATCAGAGGGAAGAAGAACTTCATGCCCGCTAGCCCATTGGTCCTCGGTTTCGGCATCCTGTTTCGACTTGATGAAGCAAGCGTTATTAATCGCAAACAGAATCTAGTGGTACGTTTAGTTGAGTTGTTCTAATTAGCTGTTTCGCCTTAATGTAAACTGCCACCGCAATACACAGCAGCGTTTCAGAAAATTTAGGGGTTGTACTGTCCTGAAGCCAGCCTCATCCTTTTGTTCGAAGATTTTTGTGCATTACATTTAACTTTCCTCAGTGCTTCCAAGCGTTTGAATTCAGTTTTTTTTTCAGATTTTTTATTACGGTCTTAAGGTCGTCTAAGATGAGTAAAATCGACTTATTTGATAATGCGAAGTTTCTGCTGTATTTCTCATGTGTAGCAAGTAGCATAGTTCCTATGCATCCAACTCAAGTGAAGAAAGATGAACAGGACAGACGGCTTGTCATCAAGTTCTTTCATAATAATCCATCATCTTTCAGTCTCTCTCAACAATTTTTAAGTTAAATTTCACAATAGAAATGTTAGGTCAATTAGTCATGGGTGAGAAATTGTTTCTTAGAATTTGAACTAAATTGTCACGGTTTGGTGTTCACTCGAAATTCCTAATGAATGCCAATAAGGTTGCTTCCAGAAGTGTTGTTCATTTACACACACTTTTGAGTTCCGTCGAGAAAAACTACAAATATCTTTTTGCTTGTATTTAGCAAGTTGACGACGGCTCTAACAACTCTTACGCCAACGTCGAAGAAAAGGTTGAAATGGAAGAACTGCTAGTGGAACAGGAACCGGAGGATGTCGATAAAGCTGACGAAGAATACCCGGATATTCAAGTGAGTCTACTAAGCCCGTTCTTGAGCCTTACATGAAAAATTAATTGCAGCTCGACGTCCCAACTGTTAATTTCCGCAGCGAGGTAGCCGCTGCTGAGGACTACTCTGTCATCGAATTCAACACGAAGAGTCGTCCTAAAAAACAAGTTCCAGTTAAGGAAAAGGAAACCTTGGAATATCTGGAGAAAAAGAAGGAAGAGGAACGCAAGGTAAGATGCGTAGGATTTTTTCATGCTGTAATTTTTTCTATTTATTGGCATACATTCCAGGCGAATGCGAACAAGAAGGGTGGGAAGCGCCAGAAGCATAAAATGGATAAAATCCGAAAGAAGTACCGTGATCAAGATGAGGATGAACGTGAAATGCGCCTCGCTCTTCTCGGAAGTAGAGGTAATTTCATGTCCACATTTGGTAGAGATTGTTTTATGTCCCTCAACCACAAAAAAAATTAATTGGATCACAGGCAACCCAGGAAAAACTGAGAGTCAAACAGCGGCTGGGAAGAAGCAAGAAGATATGAAGACAAAGAAGGGTGGGGCTGATGACAGAAGAGTGATGCAGGACAGCGCTCAGATCCTCGCCGGAGATGATCGTGAAACAAAGGAATGTAATGATCATGCTCACCACAAGGAGGAAAATGGTGAAGAATTACGCGTACAGCAGCCTTCGAAGGGAGATGAGCAGCTGAACAACGAGTTAGACCAGGTTATTCCTGTAACCATTTATTATGATTTCTCTATTTAGACAACATAACTGTTTTCTTTCTGCATCATAGTTTTACAGATTGCAACGCTTCACATAGATGACCGTCAAGATGCAAGGGAATCTTCAGCAGTGGAGCATGGTGACCACCTCAACAAAGATGTCACGGGTGAAGATGACGATGGAAAAGAAGAGATCCTCGCTTCGGAGGACAGCGAAGGTCAGTGGAGTGGTTTGTGGACGAAATAAGTAAGAGATGTAATGATGACTGTTCTCAAGGTGTGATCGCTCAGCTTACGAGTAACCCCATTTCTGAGGATGTACTCCTGTATGCTGTTCCTATGGTCGGGCCATATCAGGTGAGCTGTTTGCGCATTAATTGCCTGTTGTGCCTCGCGTAGTATAACCAACCTTGTCCAGTGACTGTATGCTGTGAAACTTCCCGTAGTTACTTCTAACAGGTAGCTCGGCTCACATTTATTTGATAAGTATTTAGTTTTTTTAGTATTTATTTAGGATAGTATTTTTATCTATTTATTTTATTTAGTATTTATATTTGACGCACACAAGCATACAAAAGTGGCCGAAGGAGGACACTCCGGCATGCTGTGCCGGGATGTCCTCCTCCGGCAAAACGGTGTATTTGTTCAATCTACTGATGGGCGGGCTTGTAAGATTCAGTCTGAAGACGCAAATAATTTATATGAACTAATTCTTATACATCTATACAGCAGTAATTCTAACACATTGACGACAACGCGGGGGATATATATCCCGCGCATTGCAGGCCATGTCGGACCGTGCGGGATATATATCCCCCGCACCCATTACACTCATTTTTTTCGCGCACGCCTGATTCTTTTAGAAGTTTCTTGTATTCATTCCATGGAAGAGACCTTGACGTAGCTACAAACATAGTGGCCCTTAGAATGGTCACGTATGCTTTAATTTAGAGGAGGATTTCTGAACCATACGAAATCTTCATTTCAATAAATTTTTCGTTTACTTTTTCTTTTTATGAATGTGAAGATTTAAATAGTAGTAGAAGTAGATAAGGAACCTTAGGGATGACAATATGTGTGTTTTGATTGGAATAATCAACGTAAAATTGCTTTTGAGGTCCATTGCAGCTAGTTCTGAAAATTTCGCTTTTTCATTGTTATTCCATGTCTTTCGATCGAAATTCCACTACTGTACCCCTGGTTAGGTTGTGCTCATTACAATTTACTGATTTGGTTTTGAATTGATCATTAGTTGTGTATTTATCACTCAAAATCTGCTTGAACGACCTGAGGCGAGCGCGCCCGCAAAATCGCCGCGGTCCCACGTGGCCAAAAAAGCCAAAACTCGCGTTGTCGTCAATGTGTTAATACTGACCCACTCACTGAAAAAAAGTAATCCAGATAGCTTAGTGAGAGCCACACGAGGAGGGGAAACTACGATAAATAGGAAAAATTTTCACAACTCCATTCCCCCATTCCCATAGGGGGGGGGGAGTGGGGGCGACAGTGTCGTTTAGCTTGATACTATGTACGTTATGCACAACTCCGAACCCAAAACTCGAAAGTGCGCTGGACGAGACGAAGAGAGCAGTTGGGAGGGGACCATCTCCCTGCTGAAATAGCGAATTTCATCGAAGCCACGAATTTGTAAACAGCGTTGAATCTCCGGTAATCATAATACGAGTTCCTACTTGAAACAGAGCCAGTACGCCCTCCCTCATTTCGACCTTGGCTTCCCTGTTCGGCGCAGTTATTAGCACGTTGACGATACGCCTGTGTGCACGTCTACCCATCTTTTTTTAGATTTGCATCAATAGTTACTCTTTCATCAATAATTTCATTACTGGTAATGAATGTTTTTTGTATCCATATAATGTATATGGATAGTTTTGGAAGCAAAATGAAGCCACAAATCAAGCAAAACGAGTCTGAGTGTGAAAATGCGATTGAAATGCGCTGTAAACAAACATTTCGGAACTGTTCTCGATATAAATTCGTTCGTTTTCCAGGCATTTAGTCATTTCAAGTACAAAGTGAAGATAACGCCAGGAACGGCCAGGAAGGGCAAAGCTGGTAAAGCCGCACTGGATCTTTTCCTTGTAAGTTGGCTTACTAGTTACAATATCAAACGAGTTCTTTGATTAAGGATATGTGACTTCCTTTTAGCGTATGAAGAAAGGTGATCCGCGTGAACAAGCACTTATTCGTGCGCTCGTAGGAGATGAAAACGCTTGCCGCAACATTCCCAAGGGGTGTCGCGTGTCAGCTCCTCAGCTGTACGCAAAATGAACACCCCTTAATAGCTCTATATTCTGTACCTTCCTGTATCATGTTTTTTAAAATATACTGAAATGACTTATTTCAGTTTTTATCCGTTTTAGTGCCTTTTGAAGATTTTTATTATACTTGTGGAGATTTTACGGGATTTTTAGCCGCACTAGTCGTGCTCATGTGTTAGCCTTCGAGTTGTATTTGTTGTTTTGTCTTGTTGATGTCAAAAAACTTTCATGTAAAATTGTTTCTGTGTTCTGAAATAAAGAGTTTTCCTGTTGTTTCCTGTTGCTCACGATCGTGATTCGCATAGAAGGAATAGCATCAAGTTTAAAGTTGTGCACAGAATTCCCATCATTGGAAGATTTTCATACATCTACCTATGCACGCCACTACGGTCTACATACTAAAGTTGTTCGCGTTAAAAGTTTGCTGAAAGAGGGGGCTACACCTGTTTCGTCCTCAGGTGCTGGTCCTTATCTGCTAAGCGACGCTATGAACAGAATACAATTCTTTTTTCGCTGCGTAGTGCTGTGATAGCGTAACGCTTGAAGAGGAAAGCTTGTACGACCGACTTCAAAGGGTTGGATCTGCATGCGCATTCTTTTGCGTTTGTAAAACGTTAACATGATGTATATTTTCAGAATATTGGATAGGATAGCACTCTCATCATTATCAATTGGAGCTGTTTTTGATGAGTCCCTTGAACATTTCGTCTTTGACATTACGGAACTCCAGTGTATGCGTCGCATTGATGCACTCTCACATCGAGAGAATATGACCTTCCCTTCAAAGGTCGGACAACCTCTTGGGACAAACTTCTAGCGGAATCGAGATTCTGATCCCCACATGGAAAAGTGAAGGTAGCTTTGGGTGTTATAACCATCTAGAGCGCCAGACAACAGCTTGATAGAGAAGAAAATCTGCAGCTTCAGCAGCTTTTGCAAGGCCCAAGCGCTCTTGTCGGTTGGTTTCCGTGCACGGGAACGCCACATTTGTGGTCCTCTAGGGTCTATACTACAGACCGAAGGGAAGCGTTCACACGACCTCTGCCTGAGCGCCTCTGCTCGGCAACTGCATGCTGGAAAATGGCTCATGTAATGTTGCGGACCCTTCTTTCATCTTCGAAGTGGGACTTCGATCCACTGGAATGATCATGGGGCGTGTGTTTAAACGATTACTGGGAACAAGGGTGTAATCTGTGATTGAGTCGTGGAGCGTTTGTGTAAAATTCTTATCCATACTTAACTGGGTGAAACTCAGGCGAGCCCATGACACGTATTGATAATTTATCGCCAAATCAGACTGGATTTGAAAAAGACTAGATCATGAGCATAATTCCAATTTATGAATTTTCAACAAAGTGACGAAACAAAATTCACATAACTTTACGCAATATTGTCAAAAAAAAATGCAAACAACAGTTAGCACAAACAGTTACCATAAAATGTCATTTGCAGAAATTATTTTAAGGATATGTACAAGCGACGTTCAATGTATGGCTTCCATCTATAAAGAGAAAGACTAGTTTACTACAGAGGCTTTTTGATCGTTAAGCAACCATAAGATTACTTATAAAACCGCTCCTAACTAAAGTATAAGGTAAGTGTAAAACATTCGGCATTGATCAATCCTTTTTGGGATGCGGCACGCATTCCACTTCCATTTGTACATTCGTAGTGGCGTTTGAATGCGATGTGGCCTATACAATGACTTGCGGGGCCAGCCGATGTACAAGTTAGTGTTTTCATACTCTCAGAGAATTTTTGACTTCAATTCACCGTATTTGGAAGAATGAAGACTCTGTTGCCCAGATCCACGTACAATGCTATTTAGGTTCGAGTCCCATGCCGTGGACGTGATAAGCGCGGTCACTCCACACTGCGGCACTTCTGTCCAGCCCCCTGATTACCCCTTAGAATTGATGTCCACGCAACTTGGGACCAGGGTCAGTCCTATCGTTGCTACTTTTCAAAAAGTTTTTACGACCCCCCTCCCTCATGAAATGTTTCATACGACCCCCCCTTTCAAAACAATTTTTACCCCAAAAAATTACCGTCGAGCGGGGGGTATATACTTCCCTTAAAACCGCAAAAATTCCCTACATTTCCCTACAATTTCCCTATATTTTACCCATATTTCAACTGCTCCATTTTCTAGGGGGGTATATACGCGCGCTGAAACGGCAAATTTTCTCCCGCGCATCACATGCAACTTCTTACAACCGAAGCAAGTACGACCCCCCTACAAACTCATCAAAATACGACCCCCCGTTGCTACTTGTAGCAACATAGGGTTGACCCTGCTTGGGACTCTGTGCTCGCCGTGCCGTAGGCACCTGATAGACACTCAACCTTCTGTAACATGATCATTAAAGGAGTCGTCTACAGAGAAGCCATTCCTTCCCATCTCGTGGACCGCACCTGCCACGAGAGCTACCGGGAGTGCTCTTGTGATGGAGTGCATAGACGGTGCGGATCCATGGGTACGTTTCTGGGAAGGTGTACCATAAAAACCGTTCACCCCAACGGTTTCAACACCTTTTCACGTGACTCCACAACGCCAACAGTTGTGACAGTTTTACGGCGGGAATTCAAATTTCTTATGGCCTCCCTGGTTGTTTGGATTAATACAAAACCAACGCTTACTTTTCGTTCCTTTTGCTGTCCTTATGAAACAAGGGGAAAGAATCAATTTCTGGTAAGGATGGAGGAAAGGTTTTGGATTGAGATTTTCAAATACTCAACCCTAATTTCTTACACAGGACACTTATGAGGGGGCCCCTAGCATTTCGTGTAATGTGCCCTAGAAAAGTATGAGGGTAGGGAAAATTAAGAGCGGTCTTGCAGATGTTGTCAGCAGTGCTAATTATTAAACTATAATTATACTGTTAAATGTAAAGGAAATATTGAATTTGTCAAGTACGTGAAAAATGATTTCATTTTAAGCATAAACAATCAAACAAAACAGATTGAAATTGAAATTGAAATTATAGTGCTACCCACTAGACTGACTACAAATTAAAGCACCAGTTTGAATTTATAATAGTGTAGTGCAATCAATATGTATCAAAACCACTCATGCTCCTTGCTTATTAAGAAAAACAACATATGAGCTACTAATTGCGATGCACAACATTGTACATACACTATGGCGCAAAAGTTCTTTTTTGCGAATTTCATATGTTTTGATTTTTTTTTCCTTAATTGACCGTACTGCGTATAAATTGTTACTATATTACTGGTTAACAAAGAAGTCATCAAATCGATGAAATTTCAAATAAGGGTGAGACTTGAAAAACTTTAACACCAATTATGGGTTTGAACCTCATTCCTAGCAAGTCGGAGAATGAGCAAAATAGTGTCCCCGATTCAAAAAGTGACCTTTAGCAAAGAATTTCCTAGCCAGGAAACTACAATTTTGTCAGGTTTATAACCTTTTCGTGCAAAAAGTGCAGAGAATTTTGCCTCTTATTACTTTGCTGAATAAATACTCAAAAAGAGCGCAGACTGACTTAGCAGCCATTTATGAGAGTTGACATCAAATGTTCACGAACGAGTTGAGCCACTATAACGAATAAATATTTACAATCAATTTCTGAAACGGATACAAAGGTTAGCCAGTGTCATTCGATAGCATATCCTCGGTACTTTGGACAGGTTGCGCTCCAACGATGAAGCCAAGTGTACGGTATTTCTGATGGTCGTTATAATCCTGACATAGATGTATATTGAAAACAAAAACGTTGAGCGTTCGAAAGAAATTGTCCAAGAACTCACTCGAATTTGCACAGTCTTCGCACTATCGCGCTCCCATATAATAATTTCTTCTCCTTCTTCGGTTGCTGAGAATGTCTTCGACAAGAATCGTGCCTTCTTGCCTTTGATAGCTTCTCTATGCTCATGCACAAGTGAAAGGTAACAAGCGGCTAGACTTCCTATTCGACGGTCCCTCCTCCAAGTAATCTGCAACGAATTACTTTCGAACAATATCGCCAACACTGATTAAACATTACCAAATTTGCAACATCACGACGCGCATGCGCGTCTCGCTTTGCGAGCTGCGCATGCGCGTCGCGACATTGCAAGTTAGTTTTACGAGCTACGGGCACGCATGTCGCGTCCATGTCATTCACTTTTTTCGCACACGCCAATCACTTCCAGATTATTCGCTTTTTAACTAATGCTAAAGTGCTGGAGACCTCATTTAACACGTTGACGACAACGCGAGTTTTGGCTTTTTTGGCCACGTGGGACCGCGGCGATTTTGCGGGCGCGCCGCCTCAGGTCGTTCAAGCAGATTTTGAGTGATAAATACATAAATAATGATCAATACAAAACCAGATCAGTAAATTGTAATGAGCACAACCTACCCAGGGGTACAGTAGTGGAATTTCGATCGAAAGACATGGAATAACAATGAAAAAGCGAAATTGTTCAGAACTAGCTGCAATGGACCTCAAAAGCAATTTTACGTTGATTATTTCAATCAAAACACACATATTGTCATCCCTAAGGTTCCGTATCTACTTCTACTACTATTTAAATCTTCACATTCATAAAAAGAAAAAGTAAACGAAAAATTTATTGAACTGAAGATTTCGTATGGTTCAGAAATCCTCCTCTAAATTAAAGCATACGTGACCATTCTATGGGCCACTATGTTTGTAGCTACGTCAAGGTCTCTTCCATGGAATAAATACAAGAAACTTCTAAAAGAATCAGGCGTGCGCGAAAAAAATGAGTGTAATGGGTGCGGGGGATATATATCCCGCACGGTCCGACATGGCCTGCAATGCGCGGGATATATATCCCCCGCGTTGTCGTCAATGTGTTAATGTACAGAGAATAGACTGGTTTTTCTACATGGCTCGGCTTGATTGTATTAGAACTCAATCTGTATCCGCTTTGTGAGTGAAAGCACTCGCTAAAAAGGGAAATATTGGTCAAAATTCCATTCATATAGAACCTTCTGAATAATACTTTGCATTAATTCCGAACGCTATCGTTACACAAATAGGCAGACTTGTAAAAAACGAATTTAAACTGGGTCACGAAGTGCTCATTGATGAGTACAGCTTCATTCGGCCTTTCCCAGTGTTACTTGGAGATAGTAGAGAAAAGGTCGGAAGTTGCATAGTTCCCCCCCCCCCTCCCGCCACCACCCACCTAAAACGCAACCAATGTTAACATTGTATTTAAAAAGTCAATAAATGTAAGTACCTGTAGGTGAGGTGTTGTCCTTGCTGCCATGCTTGAAATGAATATGAGCAAATCGGCGTCCTTTGGCTTCGCACAAGAAAGGACTCCAAGTTTTCGAAGAACAGGTGCTGACTGAAGAGGTGAACTCCTTAGTATCTCATAAGATCTAATTTAGCATTGCCATAAAAAGCAAAGCATTCGGCATTGATCGATCATTTTGAAATTCACCACGAATTCTGCTTCCATTTAGAATCGTAGTGGAAGTTAATGCGATTTGACTTAGACACTTACTTTTGGAACCGGCCTCTGAACTAGCCAACATTTTTATACTCCCGGCGATGGAACTATTTAAAGGCAAAGTTCGGGCTCAGACCCACTTAATGAGCCTTTACGTGGCTAGAAGCGCTAGGTACGCAAGTGCAGAGGTCGCGTCACTTCCCTACTTCGAAAAGCGTTACTTAGACGCTAGGCGCTAAGAACTTTGACACGCTCCACCTGTTGCGACACGCTCCGCCCACCGCTCGATATCTTGTCTGCGTCGCTAACTTGATCTGCTATGCTCTCTCTACTCGTTTCTCTAGCGCTCTCCGCGCTCACATTATCTCTCATCTCCCTGCCGGCCTTTTGAACTTCTCCGCAGCGTAGAGCAAAAGGCTCGTATTTCCTGTGTATTTCACGATTTTTTCCTTTTTTCTCCACTGGCGGTCCACTTCCCACCCCTACTTTCACATTTGAGTGGAATTACCTCATCAATTTAATCCTGAATTTTGCCTTTAAATAACCTAAAAGGGAACGAAGGCTTGGTTAACCTGAGCGAGATTCGATCTGGGTTCGACTCTTCGAACGCGGTTGGCGAAGATACTTATAATAGTACTACACCTCCTCTGACATTATTCTGCCTTATTACAGTTCATATTTATATTATATTATACATAATAACACTGGAATGGATAACTTCGCCATTTGGGTGAAGAGGCGCTGAAGTAGGACCGAATTTGCATGTTTGCAGTGATCCTGTATATAACACGCACGGTCTGTGGATCAAACCTCGGGGTGTACGCCGTTGCCCACGCCAACCAAGCTTTTTACCCATCCGGGGTCGGTTAATTGGTACCAGACTTGTCTGGGAGGATAAAAACACTGACTTGTACATCGGCTGGCCCCGCAAGTCATTGTATAGGCCACATCGCATTCAAATGCCACTACGAATGTACAAATGGAAGTAGAATGCGTGCCGCATCACTAAAAGGGATTGATTGACACCAAAATTTCATCTTTTCATTCTTCACTGCCGAAGCAAGTTCCCACTGCGACTATTGCCCGTTGATTGGCAGCAATGAACAAGCAAAAAGACACAAGCACGTGAACGAACCGTACCTCGGACAAATGCTGAAGCACTTCACTTGTCAATGCGTCACATTCAACAAATTTGCTTTCACGCAACACTTTGAAGGTTCCCGACATGAGTAACGATCGGAACAAAACAACATCCTCAACGAAGGACGCCTGAAAATTCACGGTTTTAAAAGAACTCATGATCATCGGGTGAAATTAGCATTCTCTATAGGTGTGCCCAGAAAAACAACCTATTACTTTCAATAATTCAAATTCCAAGCTGGCATGTAGCATTCAAAGGCAATGGTCACGATGGCTGTAGGGTGGTGCGGTTTTGATGACGTAGTTGAACTCCATTGGTGGAAGGGGTTAGGGGGCGGTACCAACACCGCCAGCGCGCTGAGAGGCCAGTCCACCAATGACGTTCGATGGCATTAAACCCACCGCCCTTCACCATCGAGATCAAAGACTTTCAGTTGAGAACCCATAATCGCATCCGAAGATTGCCACCGCAAGGTGATATTTGAATACATTTTTGAACTTTGAAAAGTTTTGAAGCGTCCACTCTCCCCAACGATCTACAACTACGTATCATGTTAGTACCCCATGGTTAACCGGTGCTACCTGCAAGCTCATTTTCTCTATAAGGACTCTCGAAGTAGACGACAAGCACCTTTACAAGCAATGATTATGATTGGCGCGGATGGTGTCTATTTTGAGCATCACTGCTGGGACGTGGCCTAGCCTTAGCTCGTAGAAGGATGTAATCAGACAGCCTCAAAACACCATTCCATCAACGACATTCCCAAATTAACTCTGTCTCCTAGCAGTTACACCGCAATAACACTTCTGAAAAGAGGATCCTTGTGTAGGTCATGCGACTTCACAACCGGTGCCAAAAAAACGTGAACGTATGCGTGTTCAAAGGGATACGGTATCTTCCACAATGGAATCCAGGCACGCGACGCTGCTCACGGCGCCGCGTTCGTAGCGCGGTGAGCATACTGACTCACAGCCGTGATACAAAACCCATAATTCTCGCGCTCCTAATACGGTAAACCACCGAGCCAGTCGATGGTCAAGTGTGAAAACACTCTACCAGCTATGACAGGGCAGGCGGAATCATGAATCAAAGACAGCACCAGGACAGGCTAGTGAATTTGTAGCTGCACCTCGTGATAGGCGCCATAATTTGCATGCAAATCAGCTAGAGCCAAAAACACTTGTCTCGGTACCCCCCAGGAGGCCCGTCGCGCGGCAAGAAGGCAGAGTCGGCGGACGAGTTGCAGCGCGTGGTGTGCGATGTAGGACGTGCAATGGGACACTCTATTTAACTTGACGCGAAATCCCTATAGTACGCGCGCGACTCGTCCGCTGACTTTGCCTTCTTGCCGCGCGACGGGCCTCCTGGGGGGGGGGGGTACCCCACTTGTTTGGATTACTCGAGTGCATGGCGTACTTTTCGCCAACCATGTTGGTCGCCCACCATCCATCTTTAACAGTATGAGCATATTGAGTGCCTTGCGTAATTTGTAACCATATATGGTAACAGCATATGTGGTCAGTACTTATTTTGCTAGGATCAATTTTACCGAATTCTAACGACGTTTCCCACTGGTATCACAAGTTAATTATTTGAAATTAAAATAAATAGAATGATAAGATAAAAACCTCAAATTTAGTCAGCACGTAGAATAGTGAGGTCGGCGGTTTCAAGTCAATGAATGGGGATCTAAAAATGTATTACATCAAGAAGAAATTCAGAACACGTCAAAGTAATCTTAAAGCTGATGGTTTGTCAGCAGGGAACTACTCCGAAGAAAAATTCAACCCACTGACTCGAATGATTTCGGGTCGGGATAATTCTGCAGAATAGAGAGATGCAGCCCTATCCGCCTTTGTCGAAGTTCGCAGCATATACTGTACACGCTCTCCAGAGAACTCCGATTACAAAGAACATTCACTGCCAAGATGCTCAATTTCCTAAAATTAAACAATACCCCTTTGATTGTAATTGTTGGTATTTGCGAAATGTTCCGAAAAATGAAAGGATAAAAATTGGGGATAAAGCATTCGTCATTGATCAATCCTATTTTGGGATGCGTAACACATTGTACTTCTGCTCAGAACGTGGTGGCATTTCGTATGCGATTTGGCTCAAACTCGAAGGGCTAGCCGATGTACGAGTCATCGTTTTCATTCCCCCAGATGATGTGGTACCGACAGAGCGACTCCGAACGGGTGGAAAATTTGAGTGGCTGAACGGCGTACGATCCAGGATTTCATCCTCGGAGTATGTGCGTGGTAAATGGAGTCATTAGTCACAATACCTCCCCACTCTGTGAAATGGAAGACTGCCGAAATATCGCTGGAAGTAGAGACTTAAAGGAATCTTCCACGGACCATGGACCAGTGGGCGGGACCGGAAGTTTTTGTGACGAAATGCATGGTAGGTACGGATCCACGTGTCGAACGCACGAACGTGAACAGGATTCACTTCAAACCTTCCCATGAACGTGGATCCGTACCTACCATGCATTTCGTCGCAAAACCACTTCCGGTCCCGCCCACTGGTCCATGGTCCGTGGAAGATTCCTTTAAGGCACAATTCTTGACCGCCTATATGGGGCTATTGCTCTTAAAGAATAAACTGACGGGTCAATGGAGCCTCCAAGAGTGGACCTAAATACACTGGGTGTGACGGTTGGAGGGGTACGCGTCAACAAGATCGATCATTGGTGGAACAGCAGAAGAAAGGCGGTGTGACCACAAACACTACCGTACTATTATAGTACCATGAATAAGCAAAAGTTTCTTACTGATTGAAGCTTATGAATTCCTTGATGGCTGCCAAAATATTTCCATAGCAGAGATCAAACTTGATCATCTTCAAATTCATTTCGATCTCGTCTCCTTGCAGGTTCAGTGAACAAATTTTGCACATCCGTAAATTCTAAATGAGACTCGTAAAGGAAGGGAGTAAACACAGAGAGGGAATACAATAAATAATCATGCCTATAAAAAGTTTATTCAGCATAATTTAGTGTTTAGTTACATCATCACCAGCCATTCATCGGGAATATGTACACATTAGTGCATCTCATAGAATTCACGAACCTAGTTGATGAACCTTCTTGTGGTTTTGAACCCACCTTGCTAACACGCCTCCCCTACTCCCCATCATTTACGTCTCTAAAGTCTTCACTGACGCCTCACTTCACATCTCTACATTCCTTTAGGAATGCAGTAATTGCACATATATGATCGCAGGATGTGCCTTGACAAAAAGTATTCAACTTCAACCAGGTTCTTGGTGTCCAACGTGACTACTTATCAAAGGCAAAAATAATTCAGTAATGGCAGTGATCACGATAGCTGAAGGTCGATTTTATCACGTCCTTGAACTAGACCCCTCAGCGCGCTGAGCGTTTTGCTGGAACCGCCTCCCGACACCCTTCCACCAATAACCTCTTATGACCCAATCACCGCACCGCCCTCCATTGTGACCACTGCCTTTAGGGTGTCCCCAAGAGGCCCGTCGCGCGGCGAAGGAAGAGACGCAGACGCGGCAAAGGACGAGTCGCAGCGCATACTGTAGCGGTTAGGCGTCAGGTTAAATAGAGTGTACCATACTACGTCTCATATCGCACAGCACGCGCTGCGACTCGTCCTTTGCCGCATCTGCGTCTCTTCCTTCGCCGCGCGACGGGCCTCTTGGGGACACCCCTGCCTTTAAGATTATTTGTAGATTATAACGCTTACGAGAATGGAGAGTTTCGGCAGATTGCTTCGTGATAAGACTCGAACGAATGCGTTGAAATCTTCCGGTCTTGACATGTCAGCATGAGAAAGTGTGAAGTACTCCAAGTTAACCAGGTGAACAAGCTTCGGCAGTAGAGCTCGATAATGAGTTTGCTCCCGCTTGGAAAAATCCAGTGATGTCACCGTTTTTGGAAATTCGTAATCACCATCTGGAAATTTTATTTTGCATTTTGTTCATTATCGAAAGTACATCCGGAATTTACGATTCCGCCTAGCTCACATTTCGACCCGACGACAGAGTGCGCTTTGACTCTTTTGGCCCCTTGGGACAGGCGCTTTTGCGAGCGCAGCCACCCCAACACCATTAGACTGATGTCTAATGGTGAGCGCATGATTTAGGATGGCACGTAATCATCTCAGTGATGTTTATGGCGGGAAATTTATTAGAGGGTACTGCAGTTGTTCTAATCAAAGCTCATATCTTGCCAGACAAATTCTGTACTTACTTCATAACTTTTCATTCCCATGTTTGTCAAAATCAAGAGAAATCGAATCAAAAGAAATCTGAAATTTGTAAGAACTCAGAAATTCGGAAGGACTACGTGGCGTGGCTCGCATATGCCTCGCGCCGTCCCTCTTAGGTAAAGCCGAATGCGCATGCAAAATATCCTGTCGTCAAGGTGTTGATCACAAACATAAATGATGATAGCGATAGATTGAATTGATCACTCACCCACACCATAGTTGTCTAGTATAAGGGTAGTCAGCCTGGGAAATTCTGGAAATGATGGCAGCTCAAGTCCACTAGCATGGAATTGATGAGAATGTGGTCGCATATTCAAAGCAGACAAATGAGGAATACGTTGCTGGAGATATGGTAGAACATGCACTTTCGCATACGGATAAACGTCGACGCATTTCACATCCAACACCTCCGCAATTGCATCTGAAATTCAACGATACGGCCTCCCCCGAATACAATAATTTCAACTGATATCGGTAGGACTAAGCGTAGGCAACAACCGAGAATTTTCACCCATATATAAGCATTCTTAAACATCCCGCTAAGCTCCATCAAGTGACCTCCAGCCCCCTTCCCTACCCTTCCAACAGGGTGAATATCGGTCGAGGATTCCTCAACGGCACGTCGAGGATTTTCGCCGATCAGTTACGCTCTCCGCGCGGACATTCACACTCGCCATGCGCGAGCCGTCTGTGCTCTCCGCGCGTACGTTCACTCTCGGCACTACTCTCGCACAGTAGAGAGCCATGGTCGAGGAATTCCTCGACCGTTATTCACCCTGCTTCCAATCCACCCAATGCATTTTTGGAACCACCTTGCCAAGAGAGCTCCCACATCCTCAGCACATTTTGGTCACTCAATAAAAATTAAATCGGCAACTCTCGTATAATTATAACCATATTGTGGACGACACCCCTAAAGACACATTCCGCTTGACTCATGAGACCATGCTGATTAGGATGTTGGGTGCACAATCGCAGACGAAAGATTGTTTTTGCGGCTCAAAAACCTGAAAGGGAGGGGCAAGAGGCCCAAGTCTTGCATGGGCGCACACCCCTTCGATCATAAAACGCCCACTTTTGCGGATCTGTCTCACTACACGCAATGCACTCTCATTCCCGATTATTGCTTCAGCATCCAGTTCCCTTTGACTGTTTGCCTCTTCTACCGTTCAGATAAGAAGGCCTATAGCAAGATGCTTTCAGATAACAGCTTTCCAGACGTACCGATGCAATTTTTGGCGAATTCCTCTGTATAGAACCATAATTTGGCAGTGTGCGCGAATGAGATGTGGCGAAAAACGTTGCGCAATGCATCGAAGTCACCCACGAACGTGCCTTTAACACTAAAATAGTATCACGGAAAATAAAATCTGTAGTCATAAACAGAAAACGTAAAAATGGAATGACCGCGGTCTTTTCTGAAACCCGTCACGACAGTGACTCCCGTTATTTTTTAAAATTTTCACATGATAGTCCATGTTCGACCTTCTTGGCATGATTAGTTCAGTAGGAATGATTCTTCAAGCCTTTCAAGATTGAACTTTTTATACAAGGCTTACGTTTCGGCTTCTTCGCCTTCGTCAGAGCCTTGGAACTCCGCCGCTAAGACAGAAGGACGACCACCTTCTTACTAGTCAGTACGAAGGCGAAGAAGCCGAAACGTAAGCCTCGTATAAAAAGTTCAATCTTAAGGCCGATGTCAGACTTTGCGAATCGCGCGATTCGCTACTAGCGATTCGCGCGATTCGCTAGCGTCCGCGGTCGCGTTGCGGTACCAGCCAATTGAGTGATTCACTGGCCGCGACGCGACCGCAGACGCTAGCGAATCGCGCGATTCGCAAAGTCTGACATCGGCCTTAAAAGGCTTGAAGAATCATTCCTACTTTCACATGATAGTATAAATAGTGTAAGCACTTATTTTTAGTGGCTTAGCGACTTACATGTGCATCATGTAGAACGTACAAAAGAGAGAAGTAACCTAATTACGTTGTATATCTATTTTTCGCGATTGTATCCACCCATACGTTCGGCTCGAACAGATTCACCACAACGACATCGGCTAAAGGACAATCCCGTGACGTGAGAATGTTGTGCCATCGAGAGCAGACCTGAACGAATTTTTCACATGGAAATCCGACCAAAGCCGTGCACATTCGAGAGCGGTAAATCTGACATACCCGTTCTGCGATAGCACGCTCCTTAAGTTCGAGATAGTTGAAGATTCGGCATAACAATTCGGTTGGGAGAACATTAAAATGGGGTGAAGCCCCTGCTGTGTCCTCGGTTACTGCCTCCAGTTCTTCCTGAAAGTGTTTCAAAATTTTTAGCCGTTTTTTTTTGATACAGTTGTTTTTCGCCGTAGTCCGTGATGCGAAACTTATCATAACTTACTTTATTACATGCTATTGTGAAAACCCTGTGAAAACAACAACTACAATTGAACAAGTACAGAACTACTAAAAGACGAACTTTATAAATACTCAGGCTAAATTTACGAGATTAATTAAGATTAGATTTAATGAATTGGTGCTAAGTGAGTTGGGGGGGGGGTAACCACGCGGGGCGCGGCGTCTGCCAAGCGCGACAGCACTGAGCTTTACCCTAGAAATAGGCTGAACTGTGCCAAAGATGAATTTTGCGAAATGACAAATCACAATATTCTCAGTCTACCTTATCCTTCCTGGGCTCAGGCTTACAATTAGTCCCATCGCACTTGAGAGACCGCGCCAACGCGTTGTCCCATCCCCCCTCCCAACTCACTCAGCACCAATAAATTTACTCATTCAACACAACGGAGACAAGAAAAGACCGTGCTTCTGAATTTGAGAAGTAGCCGAAATTTGTATGACCAGGCAAAAGCAGTACACGCAAAAAAACTGCTCCAGAAAACCAGAAGCGTGTCGAGTGCAGACCACACACCACAAGTGACGACGGCCTCTACAAAATGCAATGTTTTCTGCCAATGAAATGATTAGCCTGTTGCAGTTGTATTCTATCAGTTGTCACTAATTACAACTATCATTTACCAACTATCAGCTATCACTATGAATCACTAGTTACAAGATTTTCGTCATTTGTGATGTGCGTTCTGCACGTTGCGCTTATAGTTTTCTGAAACAAAGGGCACCCCTGTTTTGGGACAAGAGAAGAGCGTCAAGTGCAGACCACACACCACAAGCGACGACGGCTAAGAAAAAAGTGCCTTTTTCTTTTCTTTTTGTCGTAACTTGCGGGTGTGTTCTGCACTCGACGTGCTTCTGATTTTTAAAGCAGTGCGTACATATGCTTCTTCGGACGAATACATAAATAGGCTCAGAGAGGCTGTACATTTATAAAGCTTGTGAAAGGAACTAACCCCAACCATTGCAACGGAGAGCAAATTTGCGGAATTCTGTCTGAACAAAGGTGCATTCTTCCACGAGATTTCTAGGGCAAATAGTAACCTGTGACAAATTTCGCGGAAAACTGGAACAAGGAGCTTGTTTATGTTGCTATACGTACATTTGTACTGCAATGTGTCAAGGATAAAAGGATAAAAACAGCGGCGTAAGTCAATCCGTCTGGGATGCACCATGCATTCAAGTACGGTCCAGAATTACTAGGGCACTGGAATGTCTGTTTGGGTAAGTTGCCATTACCTGTTGTGAAGATCAATGGAGTCCTTGTCTCTTGTGGAACTAGCATTGTAATTATTAGAGGACATGGGGCATACCCTCCGATTTTGCCCCTCTCCGGTCGACACTCGCACCTTCCTGGGGTACGTTCACTAACAATAAGTTTACGAACGACAATCACCACATAACGTCGACAATTTCACAGTTACTAGGACTAATGTGGAAGGAAGAATGAAATGGGTTCCGTGAGGATTCCCCACGAGGGGGAAGGTCGTGCTACATCAAACCATTCCCACCACGATACCGTTTGCAGTTTTATTTACTGAGGATTCCACGATAAGGACGGCTGTCGGAGAAGGGGAATGTTTTTAACAAAAAAAAAGCAGGCGGGCTTCCTGAGGGTGCGGTGCGATGGGCGTTCCGCAACGAAGGGTTTTCCCAAGCATAGCCGTACACGCGCCGCTCACTGTGCTACACGACCAACGATGGCCGATCCCTCGCCGTCTGACTCTAGCCGCTCTAGAAGAGAGAGCGTAAACCTTGATGAGGTCAGTACCGTATATATCGCCCAACGCGCGAAAGTTCCATTTCTCGAATTATACCGTTTCTTGGTTCATTTCTTCATCTCTGCATCACTGACCACCTCCAACTTGACTTAGAATTCGTTCTCTTTCCAACGTAAATCCTGCCTATAGATATCATCCTCCCAGGAGACAGTACTAGTCGAATATTCGATTAAAATCAATCAAAAAAGATAATAAAAAATGTGCTGCTGATAAAAAAATGGCAGTTCTAGCTCAGAACATAGCAACAACCATTTTCCTTGTTATGCGACAGCTAATCATCATATTTCACTATTTCCAATGGAAAAAAATAAGAAGCGCAAGAGGTAACAAAAAATGAAAAGAAAGTAAAAAGGTTCCAACATATGTTGGGCCTACATGTGAATACGCAATATTTATTGAGCTTAAATAATCGAAAGTGCACGATTTTATGCAAGCCAAGTACTCTCCGTTGGAATCAACGCAGTTTTACCACTTTTCCGGTAACAAATCGATGCCACGTACAGTTTTGTTACACAATGGAGCCGTGACGAGAGCCTATTCGCAACTTCCTTCTTTGAATGTTTCGGCTGAATCATGACGCTGACTGAAACTGCCGTGAACAATATCAGACGAGCTAAGCACCATCAGGTTGTCTGAATAGAAACAGCCGTTTCATCGAAGGCCAATTCCAGAGCCGACAACGCCAATCAGGCCGATTAAGCCATATACCGGGTTTTTGTACGGGAAAATGGATAAATAACATCAAATACAACGTACAATACCTAAAGTAAGTTTGACTTGTTTTCGTTTGTTTATTAACCCTTTGACGACCGCCGTTATGAATGCGTCACTTCACTTCTTTCTAAATTTTTTCATCAATAATCATTAACTCTCCAACAATTTCACTATTAGTAATTAGCGCATTATTCCGCGAATTCGATATGTATTTGTGTAGTTTTGAAACATAAAAAATGCCAAAATAAACCCTAAAAACGTGTCGCCACCGAGCGAAAGTGTGGCCCACCGGCGGGCCACACGGTCGTCAAAGGGTTAAAGCTGAGTTGGGATGAAATGGTGCCCCGGTAGCGTAACTGGTAGCGCACTTGCCCGGAAAGCGAGAGGTGCGGGTTCTAGTCCCGCCTGGGGCGAAAGTTTTGTTCACAACCCAGCATTCTTGTGAACCTAAAGTAGTGTTTCTATGCATTTCTACTGGAAGAATTGGTAGAGTGCCAGATGGCGCTGCTAACCAGGCGCACCGTCCGCGGATCTGGATCGCGCGGTGTTCAGGCCAGCCATGCCTTCCATTCCACCGTGTTCGGTTGATGGTGACAGACCCGTACGGGAGAATGAAGACTACTAATTTGTACATCCTCGTTGTATAGAGCAAATAGTATTTAAAATGCTGCCACTATGTCGAATGCAAGTGAAGTGTGAGGCGCTTCCAAAAAGGGATTGATTAACGCTGAGTGCTTTATCCTCTACCAGGGTCTGTCCTATCGTTGTTACTTTTCGAA